CAAGCAGGTTAAGGAAGAGCCCAATGGGAGATGAACTAGTATTATGCCAACTTCTGCACGACTTCCCTTTAGATGCGTGCAAGAGGGTGACTTTCGTGCGTCTAGTAAAACGTGCCAGAACGGTAGTCTAAAAGGGCTAATACGACAATCTTAAATTAGGTAACTTCTCTCCAAAAAGCCGTTCGTGTAGTTAATATGTAAACCCTTTTTACTGGTTGAGCAGGCTTATGGCTGTGATGAAGAACTAGATCTATAAAAAGGACAAGCTATATCTGAGGTAGACTACCACCTTTCAGATGCGCCTTTGTAATGGCAAGCAAATATCTCAATAATCCCTGAATCAATGAGGAAAACTCAAAAGCATTTGCGGGTATTTAATGGCAGGCATAAGCTAACATTCATGGCATGACCTATGTTATAGGAAAGATCAGGCGCGCAAACTCTCAATAAAGAGCTGCATTAATTAAAAGTTCATGAAAGAGGTGGTGAAAATTTAGTGGCGGTTGTGCAAAAAGATACGAATCTGTCCAAAATGCTTTGTGAAGACACGACTAAATGATCTTATCAGAAATAAAATGAGCGAGTCCTGCTACAGGATTAAAGAAAAACAGCAGCTTGGTAAATTTTCCTAAATCAGAAGAAATATTTTAAAAGCCTTTTACTAAAGGTGTTCCTATTCTGGACATGCAATACATTCCAGGTGTTTTTAATGCATTTTGTCAGCTCAAAATAGCAACAGCAATAGCAGTTAGACTTATATACCGCTTCATAGGGCTTTCAGCCCTCTCTAAGCGGTTTACAGAGTCAGCATATTGCCCCCANGCCTTATCTGTGTTTATTGCTGCCCAAGTTTGTCTGTGCTGGTTTGCTGCCAAGGACCTGTTCGTCTGTTAATTAAATGCCGTAATTTATCTCTGGCTCGGAGTGTGTGTTGGTGTGGGACGAGGGGGGTCAGAACAGAAAGGGAATACAATGGTGTACAATATGAAATATCCCACTCTAAAAAAGAAAGGCCAAGAGTCACTAAGCTAGCACAAGTCACCAGAAAGAACCTAGGCAACTGACTTATCGCCACTTGTCATTTGGCTTCGTCAACAGATAGTGAGTAAAATAAACTTGTGGCTGGCCAATCTATTTCTCTAGTCCGCTTGACATACAGTTCATATATCAATACAGGCAGTCCTCGATTTAAAACAGTTCATTTAATGACCAAAGTTATAACAGCACTGAAAAAAGTGACGTATGACCATTTTTCACAGTTACAACCTTTGCAGTATCCCCCATGATCATGTGATCAAAGTCCAGATGCTTGGCAACTGGTTCATAGTTATGACCCTTGCTGTGTCCCAAGGTCACGTGATCACTTATTGCAACCTTTTGACGAGCAAAATCAATGGGGAAGCCAGTCACTTAACAGCTGTGTTACTAATTTAACTGCAACGATTTACTTAACAACTGAGGCAAGAAAATCTAAAATGAGGGCAAAATTCACTTAACAAACAGTTCACTTAAGAACAGAAATTTTGGGCTCCATCGTGGTCATAAGTCGAGGACTACCTGTACAACTTTAAGACGCTGAAGTCTTAAGACAGCAAGTGCTGAATCTGTTCAATAAATCCTATCTGTTTCGCTCATTTTATAACCCATTCAGATAATATCCTAGATTGCAAGTTTCATACCTGCCTGTGACAATTCAGAAAATCTACACTGAATTATAGTGTATATTTGCATAATTATGAATAATTTACCAATAACGATGCCGCCTATAGCCCCTGCTTTTTGGATGTTCCGGGCCTTTTCAGCAAACATGCACTGCCCTCTTTGCATCAGAGCAATTTTTTCCTTCAGTGCTTCCAGATTGGTAATCTCAGAGCATCCATTATATGGTTTACTGACTGCAACAAACCCTCTTGTCTGTGGAAGAGATTAAAAGCTTTAGTATACAATATTCAAGCCTGTAGGACATTTGCATTCCACCAGGAAAACATAAGAACAGCTTCCTAGCAAACATATCTATCAAGTCTAGCACAAAATTCAATATGTATAAATCCACTGAAATCAATTCACTTAAACGGCACTGGAACATAAGGCAGTAATTTTAAAACTCAAGACATTTAATACAAAATGTTTTTCTTCATTTATATTTGTTCTGGTAAATAACAATAAGATTCTTAGGCTAAATAAGAACAATTGTATCAACCTTAGGAACATTTTGAAGCTGCTTCATTAATTTATCATATGAAAAAAGGGGGTATTAAATATTTTTAATATATTAAATTGAGCATCTAATATGGGGTTGCATAACCTTGCAGCGCTGGTCCAAATTGGTACATTTTTTATTTCTTTTAGTTCCTACATTAATTTTAAACAAAAATCTGCTTCTCATGATAGATTAACACTTGTCTAGTTCATTATGGAACTGAGATAATCATATTCAGCGTAAGATTTCTTCTAAGAAATGGAAGGCACAATTATAATCGTTTGCTGAATATCTCCATTGTATTTTGTATAAAATATGAACAGACTGTAGCCCGCAAATGTTGGACTTTCAGCCAATATGGGCAGTGGTGGAAGATATTGAGATTTGTAGCTTAACAGCAAGGTGACCATCTCTGCTAAATACAGTTGAACATGATATTCTTCTGGAAAAGAACACTCTTGCATTGAAATAAGCTTCCAACATATTTTACAAATTAGCTAACAACACATAACATAAATGCAATGTACATCTTTATATAAAAATATATACACAGCCAAAAGGTAAGGAGCATATTGATCAACTTTGGTCCGAAGTCTTTTGTAGCATCTGGTAATTTAGAATGCAAAGGTTTGAATCAGATGACATCAAAATTCACCCATAATTTTAGTATACACAAGACTTAATAGGAAAGCATGTAAGACAAGCCCACAGTTAAACTATTCCAAACCAAAAAGTTGCATGCTAGGTTTTAAATTGTATGTGCATTCAAGTTGTATATCTCGCTGTAGTTAATCACTGAACCACTTGTTGAAGTTGAAAACATTTTTAAAATATTTATATTGTAAATTAGATTGAATTTTCTATTGTGCATTAGTGCTACAACGAAGGTTTTCTTAGTCCAATCTGATCTCTGGAGTTGCAAACCCAACATAAGACAGAATTGTTGCCAAGCAGTTATTCAACTGGGATTGGTAACCTATTCTATTCCTCGAATTCTGTACTAAAAAATCATGCTTCAAGATTCAAAGGTTCCCTCTAAGTTATAATGAAATTAATTCAAAGAGGCAAATAGTAAATATTTGGAGCATTTATTACATTGCATATCAACCAAATGTGCTTGATCAACAACATAACTGTGGGAATTTGTTTCAAGCTTAAAATGTCTTGTTCTGTCTTCACAGGAGGTTCTAAACTGACAACAGAGGAATTTCAATACCCCGTTGCAAGCTTGAAATATTTTGCGCACTTTCTAACAACAGCAAATGAGATTCCAAAGAGTATCTCTAAGAAATGCCAGTGGAGAAGAGGGAGAACGATAACAAAAAAAAAAGGGGGGGGGAGTGTTCTTGCATTTAACAAAGGCAAGGATTTCAAGCAGCCTGGACAAACCTTTTTTATGATACTTATTTTCCAAACTTTTGAATTCCTTATAGATGCGCCATATTTTGTTTCTACTAATTGAAATCATCTTGTTTAATACTTGTATAATATGAAAAGAAGAATCTTAGGGGGGCTTCCATTATCTTACTAATTTGGGGGTGGGTGGGCATATCATATTGCAAGAATGTGTCATCTCTGCTTCATGAGCTGTACTGGTTTCACTTTGCTTCCGATTACAATTCAGGGTGCGGACTATGACGTACAATATTAATGGGGCAAACCCGCCATCCTGGGCCCAACGTTTGGGAAGCCAGTCTCTGCTTGTCACAAGCCAGGACAAAGGATGAGTGATGGAGGAGTAAGACCTCCTTAAAAAACCTTGGTCCAGCTGGCCCGGCTGGTAGCACCTCGTAAGGGCCCCTTCCCAGGGTTACGGGAGAAGACGGTCAACGGTTTTGAAGGCGGAAGAGGGCTCTACGCCCCAACGGCAGATAAAGCAGCAGAACCATCTTCTAGGAGAAGGGAAACCCTGATTCCAAACCTCCATTGCCTTGAGGCTACATCCACTACTGGNCTGCATTTAACCACTGCGCCACCTCGGCTCAAAACTCTTTACCATAGGGCCATAAACTATCATAGGGCACATTAAAGAAACTGGTACTGACGTTCTCTGAAGGAATAATCTTAGTGGGTAAAAACCAAGTTTCACATCTAAACACAATTTGGGGTTCATTATATGTAAATAAAATTTTTAAAAAAGTTAAAAGGACACTTGTTTTATTAATTCACTAAAACTCAACGACAATTTGCATCCAATTCCTGTAAAAGTCTCACCAAGGTATCACATTCCTAAAAACATTCTGATCTGTACATTTAAAAGGCTGCTTTACATACACACTGTAAATTTTTTGTAGAAGGACCTTTCAGCCATCTGCCCTGCCTACCTACTGTACATACATAACTGCAATGTGAATTTAATCGTTGGCTATGTATCAATCTTTTGTGACCAAGAAATAACTCGGACATACGGGAGCAAAAGAATAATTCCTTCCATCTTCAGTTCCCAATTCAATTGGAATATAACAGAGCCAGTTTAACTCTCATGCCGTTGCTGTTGACCTTTTCCTGATACAGAAGCACACTCTTATCACTCCGTTCTATGGGGAAATAAAATGCTGTGTTAGAGGGGAAGCCATTGGTTCCCTCCAGAAATCTGCTATCCAATGCAATATTGGATAGTCAGGTTTCAGTAATAAGGAGCCTGCAGGGAGATGCAATGGAAGCGTATTTGCAATATGATAAGCCTTCCCATACTACGCATTACATTTGAGCGTATGATCTTTGTCGTTTTTTGCAACAAAACAGCTATACGTGAAAAGGCCAAGAATAGGGCGCAGTGCAATATGGCGGTGTCAAATTATTTGACTTTTCGCTTCCTAAAAGTAAAAAAAAAATGAAAACAAAAAAACCTATATTAGACAGTCTTTTTGCCTTGTTTGCTACACTGGGTTTTTTTAAAAAAGGAAACTAAATATAAACTTAAGACATCTGTGAAACATGATTGCTGTGAAATATTTCTGCTACAGTTGGAAAAAAAAATCTATACTAGCGACATGCCAAATGTTCTGAACTCAAAACATGCTGAGTTCAAACTGCTCGGTTCCAAGTTTGAACAGGTCTTTTCCAGAAGTGAAAAAACACAAAATACCTGCTGTGGACCCTGATCAGGAAGGCATCTGTGCCAATAAGCAGAGTTCACCCCCCAATTTGAAGTCGAAAGATTTCAAATTCAACGTATTTTGCATACCCCTCAACTAGACATGATACTAATTTTTGTTTGGCTTCCTATTATGCTAAGGATGCCTTATTTCTTGTTGAGATACTGACCACGTTTAAAACACACAGATTTTAAGATACGCACAGAACAGGATGGTTTTGATGTAAGGCCCACTTAATTATTTTAAAAAAAACAAACGCAGAATAAATTAAATCCTAATGCAAGATGATTCCGTACCTTTTCCAGAGATTGGGAAGGATACTAAGTTTGGCTCATTCTGAACTTGCCATTTAATGCACAACATTTCAAAACCAAAGGGATGGGAGTGTAGAGAGCTTTTGTCCCATTATCCATAAACCACTTTTAAGGATTATCCAGTTTTTCTTCTTCATTTTTTTGTTAACAGAACACATTGCCTTTGGTTTATAAACTATCTTGTCTTGAATTAAGAACAAAGAATAACATCCAAGTGAATCGGTCATTCTCCGAAGTGATAAAATGGAAGAAGTGATAAGGAGGTACAGCACACTTACTACATTAAGTGGCACAAAAACAATCACAGCTGCCCACTGCTTCGCCTTCATCCTAAAGGCACGGCAAACTATTTCCCACCAAGTCTCCAAAAAGACTTTGAGATACAATATTTACCCTCAAAAACAGCATTGTCACACCTGCCATTCGTGGCCTTTATGGGCCAAGATGTAAAAGCTACAGCTGGCCATTCAGGCTCACTGGTGCATGAATTCCCACTGTCTTTGCCTCCCAAAGATTATGCTAAACTAACCCACAACAATCTGGAACACAGGAAGAATTCATATCATTCCCTGAATGAACCTTCTGCATTACAGCACCATGCAAAGGAACTCTGCAAATGGGTCGATTGCACATTCCCATTTTTTAAAAACAAGGTAAACAAAAAAACAAAAAAAACAGTTCAAATTATAACACATGCTGGCTTTTGCCAATAAAAACCTGGCTACTTGTCACAATACTGAACAATTCTTTTTGAATTTCAGATATCAGGGCCATTATCTCCTTGGTAAGTTCCCAGGCAAAGTATTTTGAAGTTATAGTTCATCTTTTTCCATCATTTCAAATGCTTCTATGTCTTCATTCCAATCAGCTAGTATCGATTCCATAGATTGGTCTTTATTACTCCAGTTATTACTGGGACTGGAATCTGTCTCAATCTTTGACTGTTCCTCAGGATGATTATTATCCTCTTCTGCTGCTTGACTGCTACTGCTAGCTTGCTGGAATTCAGGGGTACAAGAATCTTGGTTTGTTTGAGAAAAACTATTGCTGTCCGATTCTGCAAATGAGCTCGTACCAACTTCTTCTTCAGATTCTTGAGAGACCAAGTTCAAATCTGCTGAAATCTCTTCCATTTTCTGATTGTGAGAATCATTATCAGATGACATCTGATCCACGGCTTCCATTTCCAAATCTTCGAAGTAAAGGGGGGGGGGGGAAACAATTATTTAAAACATTTCTAGTTTACTTCCAGCTAGAAGTACCATATGACCATAAGCAATATCAATTGGCTTTTTTCTTAACTATGATTAATAGTGTCAAAGTTAAACTCCCATTGACACACCTTTGAGGTTCTTCAGATTTTCATCTATTAGATAAGTATTATAAAGAAATCAGTTTAAATTACTTAACTTGATTGCTAAAACAAGGATAATGTTCTCCTCAAGAAACTGATCAACCGAGGTTTCCATGGGACCAAATTTTTCCCCTTATCCAAAGCAACTGTTTTTATCATATAAGCATTAAAATAAACAGCCTAGCAGAATATGTCTAAAACCATGTTTATCTATTTTGAATCTAAGTTTTCAAAGCATTCTAATATTAGGATGTACATAGAATCCTAATCTCCAGCATTATTTGAAAAGAAATCTTTGACCACTACACTAGATTCCTGAAGTTGGAATTAATAAACTAGTCACTGCCGCTCATAATTTATGTGCATCTAAAATATTCATCAAATTTTTGAGCCGTGGTGATTTTGAGCAAAGCAGTGAGGATACTGTAGAAAATACCCCAACTTTCCTAATGGGAGCACCCAACATAGTAGGCGTATTTCTACAACTAGATTTTGTACGTTTCTTGTTGGATCAAGATGTCAGTAGCATCCCAATAACTTCTAGACATAAACTATCCGTAAATTAAGGTCTAGGTCTTGCTGACTAATTTACATTTTACTTAGTTGTAGTAAAAGGAAACATCTCAAAATATCTTTTTATCTCTCTCTCTCCCTCTCTCTCTCTCTCTCTCTCTGTAAAGCATGTACAGATATTTTTAATACTTACTGCTATCAATAATGTAGTTTGGAATCGTTTTATCTTTAAATATAGTTGCTGACATTCCAAAGGCAGCACAAGGAGAAGAGAAAAAAGTACATATGCATAAATCCACAAACCCACCAACTTTCAATTAAGTTCATTTATTTACATAGCGGCTGCTTTAGAAAAAAAAACTCTCTAAATAAGATCTCAACAGGATTCAAACAACTGTTTATATGGGCGTCTTTATTTGTTAGACTTATAAAGGCAGCCAACTCGAATAGTGCGACTCTGGGGAGCAAAAAGCATGAAAACAAACAACATCCCCTTCCACCATATAACATAAATATAAAATATATAGGGAGTATATAAATATAAAATACAAAATATAGAAATGGCAATGAACCCTAAATTATTTTATTCCTAACAATTAACTATAATACTTCCTACTGCCTTTGCTTAAATAGGAATTCGGGTGAAGTTTCTCCCGGAGTCTGTTTTATTGTTACTTCTGATTAAATGCCTGTTATATACCCACATAATCAAAACTCATAGCCCCAATTGACAGAAATGTTCATTGCTCTTGTGATTTTGTGATAACCATTCTTCTATGTGATCAATTCTCAGAACCTTAAGTGTTGCAAAATTTATATTGAGAGTTATGGTTTTAGAAAGTATCTGGTGCTTTTTTCACATTATTATTTTTCCCTATGCATTTTTTCCTATTTTCACTCTATTTGCTATACTTTGCTTTTATAACTTCTCTTGGATTGTAAATAATTTTTTTCAGGAAAAAAAAAGGCTTTTTGACAGAAGTAACTTGGATGAGATTAAACCATGGCAACTGGACCAAAGTTTGTTAAACTGAAACATTTGGTCCAGCTGCCTTGGTTTAAATTCTTTTTAGATACTTGGTCTGAGAGAAATTACAATTTGAAATAGCAGCCATTTCCAGGAAAAAGTCTTTCAATAAAAATTGTTGTGTTAAACTGGTATTTATTTAATAATTAAAAATAATTCAACCCAAATCTCCAGACTTGGGGGGGGGGGGACAATGAAATTATGCTGTTTCTGGATACTTCCACATTAACCTAAAAGTTCGGCATTGCAATACTGTGCATAAAATGTTCTTTAAAAAAAATAACAGAACATTTAGGTTGAAAAAGAAAAACGGTCTTCATGAACTTGCAGTTGGTTAATTCAGACTTCAAAATCCACAGGAGTTTTGATGAGAATTTGCTACAAGGCAAACTGTTTGGTCCTAAAGCACTGAAAAATTTAGTCTGTTACATGATATCAACAAACTTGTTTGCATTACAAGTTATGATCATCTGATCTTTCTGGTATGCTTAAAATGTATAGATTTATTTTGCTGTGTAGGGCAGTGGCCCACTACATAAATTCATCTTTACTATTTAACATTGTTTTAAACGTGCTATTTTCAAGATTATGGAAGAAAATTCACTGATAAACTTCACCAGGTTCACATTCATATCAAGACACGGCAATACATTTTTCTTCTCTAAATCTATATTATGTACATCTGTGGGCTTGAACTGGCAAGCAGAAAAGTTGATTGCTGTACCTCAAGTATTATCATGGAGAACCATAAAATCAGAACACAGTTCATTTTATCCTTACATATACAGCTTGGGAATTTCTGATTTAATATCCCTGGAGTTGCAAAAGTAAACCTACAACATTTCCTTAATAAACTACCATGGTAAAGCACTGCGCCTCACACTTTTTTTGTTCTAAAATATTTTGTTTAAAAAATACATTTATTTTGTTGTGCCGAGTAAGGATTCACTTAAAGAAATTCAGTCGGAGTATTTAATAAATAATGCTATTTCAGAAAATTCTGGAATAGATTCTCGTTTATTAACTTTAAGAGCTTAACTTCCAATCTGATTACGTTTCCCTTCTCATTCTCTCTTTCTATATTCTCCACAATTGAAATTTAAGACTACAGGTAGTCCTCAATTAATGACGGGGACTGGAGTTGCCATTGCTAAGCGATGTAGACATAAATTGTGTCATGTGACTATGCTGTTTAACAATGGCAACATTAAGTGAGGACTGCACAGGTTGTTAAGTAAGGATCTCCCGTTACTGCAACTCTGACTTTCCGCCAGTTTTCCCATTGACTTTGCCTGTGAGAAGCCAGCAGGGAACACTGAAAATCACATGACCATGGGCGCACTGCAATAGCGGGAACTCCGAGGCCGAGTTGTAACTACCAGTCATTCAGTGTAATTGCAAATGTGAACAGCCCCTAATCATTAAGTTAAGTACTACTGTATGGTTCATTGGGACAGCTTTTAATCTTAATAAAGATGTACTCTTACATCCCTTTCTTTATCAGAAAGCAGCAATGTTGTCCTTACCTCTGTCTTTCGCTTTATCTGAAAGCAGCACTTCTACACTTTCATACGACTGAAGGGCATCAAGGATAATATTTCCTTCCTTGTTGAAGAGAAACAGCATGGGGATAGTGATGTCGTCTGTATTCTTGCCATCACCCGCCATTTGAAAAAGGGGAGCTGTATCGCTGCTACTTCCTTCATTATCATCTAGGCACAGCAAAGATAATTTTTTCCCATTAAAATTTTCAGTGAAAAGAAAAGAAAGGGAAAATAAGGTGGTGTTACAACAGGCGCTAGGGATGGTAAACAAAGCAATCCAAACTGTACCTTATAACCTTTTAAATGAATAACAAAAGTATAAGAATGGCAAAGAAAAAGAATAAACATGTGAATGTATACCTCGAATTGTATGTAAGAGAATAAATGACAGTAAGAATATAAAGCACAAT